CAACAGACCCACTACAGATTCCCTACCATAACATTATTTAGGTCCTGATCACACGCGCCAATAGAACGCCATTGAGCTGGATGAGACGACGTGCTGACCATTTAAGTTCTTCTATAACACCGGAGAAAAGTGTTTCTTGAAACATGCGATAATAAAAAAGTAGGAGGCGTGGGCGGTACTTTCAACACAAATTTGGCCATGAGCATTGATTCACTTTAAAAAATAAAAAACCAAGTCGAACGTTTACGGTTGAGGAGATGTGGGCCAATACAAGATTTAACAATCATCATCGCCTATACATCCACATCCAGCATATGACGATGACCGGGCCGAAACGTTCTATATGGACTTAGAAAATTTCAAAAAAAGGATCATGCTTTTCTGTTGGAGAGTTAAAGAATAAACACTCAGCGTCGATCAATCTCTGAGGGATATGCCATGGATTCGAATTCATCAAGCACCGTTAGAAGTGAACAAATGCATACCTGGGCTGTATAATGACTTCCGATGGAATACTGATGTATCAGTTCAGTGCTGCCATTCTGTCAGAGAAGTTTGTTATCAAAATCTCAAGTGCAAAGCAGTAGAAAGTTTGGTTAGCACGGGACGCTGTGATGAACCAAGGACTGTGTGTGGATTTCACGGCTACTCCAACCACTGTGATACTGATAATACATACATTGAAAAGTATCAGATATAAATAGTGCAGATTGTACGAAAGTAAATGCTTTGCTAGTCGATGTCGCTATTTCTCCAACTTCTACGTAGGGTCGGACAATGGCATGCTTATCGTAACTTTCTTCTTCTTTCTATGATACGAGGGTAAAACTTGAGGTTTAAGTACCTTGTAACAATAACAAAGAGTGATTTGCACAATTCTTGGGCTAATGTAATAAAGACTAGAAAAGGCAACGAGCAGCATGCTAATCTTTTCGACTCAGTAATACCTGCTGTACTAAGGTGCACTTTGGAAAACTGGGCACTACGTAAACAGGATGAAAGATTACCTATAAGACGAAGTACCGACTGAGTGATGTTCAAAGAAAGCAGTTAGAAGTTACCACCTTACAACGCCATAGAGAGGGGCCATACAAATTTCTACCGCACGTCGACGATCAGTAATCGGAGTAATGCGCGAAAACATTGAGATTCACGTGAACCGGTCATGTTAAGTGTTAAAGAGCAGCGAGCCTTCCAACCTTATAAGGAATCCTTCTCAGAAAGATGTTAAAAAGAAAATTTAACGATAAAACAAAAAAATGATGCTTAACGATTTCCTAAAGGAAAGGAACCAAATGGGCAATACCGAACACGAGAATGAGGTGAGACGCGAATAGCACAGTAGGCTGCGATACACATGGAATCGATGTCGTGCCAGAGGCTCACCAAACCTTTCATCACTCCGGGGTCGCCAACTTTGTACAAAACTTGTCTGCAAAGTTAGTAGCACTGAGCCGATACATCTGTAGGGGGTGACGATGAATAAGGTGAGAATGATGAGGCCGCCCCAATCTCGAAGGACTACGGTGATGCTTTGTACCTACAATGCACGTTCACATGCATATAGGTTAGTGATAGAGGACTTCACTTTTCAGACAAGAAGGACAAGGTACGGCGTCATCGGACTCGCTAAGATGAGAAGACGTCAAATATTCAACGCCGTCTATGACACAGGTGAAAACTGGTTCTCTGGACTGGTGACACTAGAGTCGGAGGCGCCATCGTGAGCCATTCCTGAGTTTGGTCATGAACACTGAATTGTTCGAAGAACGAGCAACCTGAATCGGACGTTCATGTTTGAAGAAATGTAGTCTAATACTGGCTTTGACAATGTTCGTTAACTACTCACCAACATCAAGCTGTAATGAAGAAGAAGTCGGAGCGTTCTATACGGACTTGGAAGAATTTTACAAAGAAGAACACATACTCTTTTAGGTCATCATTTAAAATTTTAACGCTAAGAATGGAATCAGAAAAAATGCTAAAGGATGTCACGTTGGGATCCACGGATTGGAATGCAAAGAACAAGGTGAGTGGCCGTCCTAGTTTTTCTTGACGAATAATACCGTTCATGGTGTTCAGACGAACTCGCAGTTCCAGAACCCACACTGTCAAAGCTGCACGTGAAGGTCTATCGGTGGTGAGCACCATAACGAACTAAACCAAATCACATCACAATAGATCAAAGGTGTTAGCTAGTCAATGTAGCTGTTGTCCCAAAATTCTACACGGGATCAGACCAACGCCTCCTTCGCACAAGATCCTATTTTTATCGGAAACTAGGGAAAGCATCTGTGTTCAAAAAGAGAGCATCCCAAATTCAAAATAAACTGCTTCACGTTAGCGCTATGAAAGCCGAGAGTTCGAAAATCACTAAAAAATATCTGTCTCCAGAAGCACTCGAGCTGAAACTACAGAGTCTGGGAAGAGCATTCGCATGACCCACCTAAACTTCACCAATTAGAAAACCAACTCCATTGCATTCCAACGCTTATACAGAATGGCAGAATGGTTCCAGCTTCAGGAGAGGCCAATCGAGCAAACATTTCATCACTACTACTCGAATCCCTTCAATAGCCACGTCAACCTGCCCTCATATTAAATAAACAACGCGGGATATGTCGTACCACCGGTTCTCTCTTCTGAAATCCGACATGCTACTTCTTCGGCGAAAAATCAAACACCAGGTCCGCACATGATAAGATCAGAACACCTGAAGGACTTTCCACAAGTCCTCATAAACATGAGCGGTTCTTCATGCTTAACCTACTAAAATTTAAGGCACCTATTGCAAAAAAAGAAGAGTGGTGAGCTCCACTACATCGATTATTATCGCTCAATGTGCTTGCAGTCTATCGTCTAAAAACTTTCGGCTGAGCCATCCCTAGCAGGATCGACGGAACACTGAGCGAATAGAAGTTTTCTGAAAATGTAGGGTTTCGAGAAGGATTTGTTTAGTACGATAGACCAAATCCACAGCAGAACGGGTCTCACTCAAGTATTGCGGGAGTACAAGGTACCGCTAGGTCTAAATTTCACTGATTAACGGAAACCTTTGACTCAGCTGTGATAGAAGCAGTCATGGAAGCCCTGGACAGCCAGCAAGTTCTTACTTAGCGTACAAACATTGTTCATAAGCTATATAAGCATTCCACAACAAAAATCTCTTCATTCTACAAAAAAATTAACTTCGATGTCAAATGAAGGGACAGGCAAGGCGATGTCATCACGTCAAAACTATTTACCACAACCTTTGAAAAAGTCAAATGAGCGTTGGAATGAGACAACATGGGGGTGAGAATTGATGACTGGCAATTACACTGTCTTCGCCTTGCCGACGATATCGTTCCTAGAACACCCAGCATTAGTCAGAAGGAACGAATGCTCGCCAACTTCAATAATGCAATTGGTCTTCGGCTAAATCTCGCAAAAATGATGTTCATCAGGAACGGCTTGGTTACGTATACCCAATTGACCGTATGGTACCCATTATACCCGTATAAACCAACGAATTGAATTTCACTGAATGCTCTGGTTGCGTCTGCCTAAATCGGTAAATAACATGATGGACGACTTAGTTCCAGAGTTGAGCAGGAAGAAGAGGGGGACTTGGGAAGCTTTCAAGAGCATCGAGGATGCAGTGAAGAGAAAAAAAAGAGCCGAATCCGTGCCCACCTACTGTGCAATTTCTCCTGCCTTAACATATGCGTCAGAAACTTGGCCACTGCGAAAACAGGATGAAAGATCACGATGCCTTATTGAACACGCAGTTGAAATCACGATGGTAGAAGAGTCCCATACCACGCTACTCAGGAAAGGTATCCAAAGCTTAGATTTACGTCAACCGTCGAAAATCTAAGACGTCCTTCTATGCGTCAAAGTGTCGAGTAGGCCATACACGTGGCCATACGCCATACACCATACAGGTGGGCCATACACGTAATGCGCATGAACGACAGCTGATGAGCAAGAACCGTTGATATTCTCTATTACCCTATTTCTCGGTATGCTAAACGTACTTTGGGAAGGCTACTGACCCAATGGACACAATTTTTCATGAACACCTTAGAAGAGGGATATGATGCTTAATGTGCGAGGAGAACCGACTAAGCTATTCTCGTACGCGATAGTGAGAAATGGAAGATTTACTGGCGCCCGCTTATGTCATTCGACGATCAACGGGATAACAGATGACACAGGTGATATATTATTAACTGATTTCGACTTAGGTAGTCTACATGCAGGACTTGAGGAAATATTGGAAATGTTCTCCATAAGAGTGGCTATAAAAAGGTTCGCTTCAAAAGAGCTATTGTTCCTTGTCATTTATTTATGTAGACTTCTAGACTTGAACAGAAAGAATAGCGTTTCTGTATTTTTTAACCTTCTCGCACATTTTAGAACAAATTATGTTTAACTAGAGGCATTAGTCCAACCGTACTAGATCAGTGATTTTAGAACTTGCGTGAGTCTACCAGTATAGCATCGGCGGGCGTTTTTCAAATTCTCAACAATTGATTGCCTTAGTAACTTTCCGAAAATGTCGTACTCCTCTATGTGATAAAAATGTTTCTTTTTTCAACTAAAATAGTGATTGGTCCTGATTTTGGGCGACCTGTAAGAAGAGTCTTTTCTACTCGTAACTGTAAACTGACTTTGATAACACTTCGAGAGCCTCATCTGCTTTGCCTGCCTCACTTAGAGCCCGGGCAGACTGGAAGTCTTTTTCTCGATCAGACATACTGGAAATGCATGAATATTTGAATAATATAATATAAACAAACAGCGATTAACCACAAAAAGACCAGAGCATGTTTTTTTTAGTTCAAAATGCACTCTTTATTGACCGGCTTTTTAACAAAACATGATGATGCGTTTCCAAAAAGTAAATATCTGCCACATCAGTAATACAGGCCGAGGAAACTAATCAACAGGAAGAGTTGGTTAATCGAATGAAACTGTTTTTAAAAATCAATAAGAACTTAGGGTGATTATAAGCTATGCCAGTGCTAGACGGTCACGAGGTGATACTCTATGCTGACGATTTCATGGTGGGTCGATGTCCCTCATACAGCTGTTGCTTTTGAGCCAGTGCGTGTAGGCGTTCTATTTCTGTCCCACTTCCATTACACAGCGTCAAAACACTACGATACTTGAAAAATTAAAAGCCATGTTTATGAAAATATTCTCAAATTATATATGGTCTTCGCCAATAAATGGTTTATATATGATTTATTACTACAGAATTTTCGGAATAAAAATACGTTTCCATTTTTGGCATTTACATTACGAGGAGTAAAACTATACGCATGGCTACTTGTCTTTATTTGCTTGAAGTTACTTTCACTATTATTAGTGTTTTTATTACTTCTGAAGGTAATTGGAATTTTTCTGGAATACCTTCGGCTTATTCTTCGTTTGCATAGTGTAGCAAAGATGACTGTGAAAGGTTAGTTTTTTGTGTTGATGTATATAAATAAATCGTCTTGATCATTTGAAGAAAAAAAGCATATGAAATTTCCATTCCGTCTTGACCTATTCCCTACTTTTTTCATAATGGGCTGTGAAACCGTTTCTTCTTTTTAATATTTCGTGCTATGGAAGTGTCAGGAAGGTGCGTGTACCGCAGTGGTTAGAGGCGCGCTGAAATGCAATGATCTCGGTCCTATGCCCAAGTCTCACCAACTCTTCCATCCCTCCAGGGTCCGAAAATTGTTGCCAGAACTGTCTGGGTGAAAAGCACCTCTGGCTCAACCCATCGGTAGACCACCGCGAGTTATTGTAAAAGTCAGCTATGCATTCAATCATCTCTAACGATCATTAATGAAGTTGAATGCATGAGTGAAGCCTTAGGGATTGATCAGCGCTGAGAGCTTTATTCTCTATTTTATTAGATAAATGTCCACGACTTGCTTATGATTAGACTGGGACACATCTAGTAAAGGTGCCCGTCACAAAATAACAATATTCATTATAAAGTTACGATTGCCCTCAGCTTTAGTAGTGTTGTCGTAACTACTTGAAACGGTGATAGCGTGTTCGATTTCCACCGCAAGCCCATGTAGTCCAGAGTTTTGCAAATATCACAGCATCATTGTGGTAACATTTCAGATCATCCTTTGCTATGAAAAAAGTGTAGACAGTAAATAAAAAGTAATTACGCAATCACTTTAGAAAATACTCTTATTTCGTCAACAGGGAATACAGGAGGCACATTTTCTCTCAATACTTTCTGATTTCCAACTCTTTATACTCACACTTTGTTATCAAAGAAAAGTCGTAAGAAAAACTGCTCGGTCAGATCTTTTCCGCCTTATATTTATAAATAGATTGGCAAATAATTAGCCACATCATTCCGTGATCTAATAAAGATATTGAAATTTGGTTAGAATCTAATAGAGATATTGAAATTTGGTTAGAATAGTTATTGTTTATTTCGAGAGCTAACGGTGGACATCATCTCTAGAAATGCGTGTTAAGACCTTTAAAACTGCTCAGATCGCAATCGTTCATATTTAGGCTATTTCTATGGCAATTTTTGAAGGACCAAAAATCTGGGTGGTACTATTTTTAACTTTTGAAACCATTTGATGTTTCTCTACCAAATATTGGACCAACTTCTTCATCAATACAGATGTTAAAAATAACTCCTTAGACCGAAAGAAAACAACTTGGCGTTAGCGAAACGATGAAGCTGATAGTATAAAATGATAGCATGTGAAAAATGTAAACAGTACGAGAGATTTCCCTGCATAGCTGTGAATAACCAATAATAATGTAGTAGCAATAATCACATAATGATATAGAAGAATAATAATTACAATTAGATCTGTGTCAGCTCATCAGTTGTTGCGAAGCGTTTCCATTAAAACCTTGATTTAGAATGAAATAACAGAGTGACAACACAGGTTATTTTTGTAGAAACGATTCTATATATTGAAAAAACAACCACAATGATGCTGAGATACTTGCAAAACTCCGGACCGCAGGTGTCTGCGGTGGGGAACGAACGCGCTACTATTTCCTGGTAAGGGCAATAGCGCGTTTATTCCCCACAGCAAACATCTGCAATCCGGAGTTTTATAAACATCTCAGCATCATTGTGGTTGTTTCACAAATCATACCCTGCCGTGAAAACTTGTAAAAAGCAGTAGGCAAAAAAGTGAACATATTGAAGACATGTAAAGCATCTATTTTCGTGACGTAATAGTTATTCTGCACAAATTTGTCGCTATTATTTCTAGTGAACTTAGTTAGAAAAAGACATTGCTCATGTTTCGCCCTCATCTAAAATCTTTTTCTGTCCGTCATTTTCGTTTTCAATACTTAAGTAAAGTAAAATGCGATCTAAGAATGAAGCGAGATGTTATGAAAACTGAACAAAAAACTTTCAAGGATCGTTCCACCTCGGTCCTTTAATAGCCGTTTTCTCAAATTCCCAGCTTTCACCTGAAACTGATCGATAAGAAAAGGAATCGCTAATTATTTTTATGCCTGATGGTGGTTGTCCTACATCGTCCTTTGGTTGAATCGGGTCTCAATTTCCTTATGTGACTTACTATGATGTCGTCTGAAGGTTTGGACCATCCGTGCATCTAGTAACCTATTGAAGTTCATTAAGAGCTTCAATCTTGAACTTGAGCCAGAAATAACTACTCATTCTCAAGAGTTTATGTGAAAGACTATTGATGGCGTTATTTTTTTTAACTTACGTTTCCATCTTGTTTCTCGATCTATCGGAAAAAAACGCATTATGGGACGCATTGTTTTCAGGGTCAAATAAAGAAGAGTAAGAAGCGTGGAGTAACAATTAAATCATAGTGTCGCCAAAATCTGTTTTAGTGCAGAAGTAGATGGTCAAACAGTGATTGAATTTTATGGACAGATTACGTCTTCACTAAAAAGAAAGACTACGAAAAAGTAAAGCTGTTTGTTAACAGGCAGGCATGGTCAAAGAGCTTCCGTACACTTATTTGTCATACAAAATTCAAAACACTCACCTATCCACTACAATTTATATCGTCTCCATCATCTTCATTGAGAAAAAGAAAACGAAATGTTCCACAACATTATGAGCTGTTAAATTCCACAAGAAATTTGTCGTTTTCTTCTTAATGTATTTAGTTGCTTTACCGATAAGCTCTGAACTAATCAGTTTCCTTTAACCAGAATCAAAAGCTTGTGATGACGATGTATAGGTTAAATCTATCGTAAGAAAACAGTTAATATCGATTAAAGAATGGTATAACTGGGATAGTATGCTGTATTTCCAGTGTTAAGTGCTTCAGTCTATTTTTTGCAATAAAACGATAGGAATGATAGAACATAACGATGTAGCTCTCCGTTCGAAAAGTTCATGTATCAGGTTGATGCCTAATCGGCGTCCCATGTTTACAAACACTGTCAACACGGTACTACCTAAAATCTGAACACTTCCACGTCTCCACAACTTCATGCAATCCTCAGCATTCTGGAAAGTTCTACAGGCGACCGATAATCTGTAACTTTATGATTGGTATGATGATGCTGTCCCACTTTATCAACACATCATTTGCCGGTTCTTCTAAATCGGAGATGTGATTGACCTACTTTTAGTTGGAATAGAAACAAGAAGCTCATCAAAACATTGTTGAGGGATGAACCAGTCAGTGATAAGTCGTCGAGTGTGAGGTATGTGAGCTGATTGGTAGATTCCTAGGCATACCACTTATACATGTGCTATACTATACAGACATATAGTTTATTGGTAATGGGGTAGGGATAGCGTGGTGGTTACTGATACCGCCGCTGGGAGGCGCGCGTGGCGTTGTGGCCGGAGAAGCCGCGCAATAAGCATGGGATCAATCCCCGCGCCCAAAACGCACCAACACCTCATTCCTCTGCGATCTGGTCAGCAAATTAGTAGCAGACCTTTCTGTGGGGATAGCAGCATTGGTTCGATACATCGGTAGGCTGCTGTGAGTCGTTGTAAAGGTCAGATATGCATTCAATCACCTCCAGCAATACCCAATGAAGTCGAATGCATAGCTCATCCCACGTGGGTTTGATCAACGCCTAGAGCTCTTTCCTTTTTGCTTTAGTGATACCATCGATCAGGAAACAATGGCTCTAGTTTGATCCTCGCCAACGCTCTCCTCCAATCCACTTGGAGACGCCTGGGCCTGGCTATCTCCAAGATTGCAAAGCAAATCGACTCGACTAACATTCTACGGCATTCATAAAAAAGACCGAATACTCATTCAGCTGCCGGAAGAAGAGGTGAAGTGTTCGAAGAGCATTGAGAAGAACGAATAAGTGGAAAACGGATCAAATGCAAGAAGTGCTGAGATCCGCACAGTAGATGTGATGACGGCTCGTGTAAAATAAAAAAAAGTACTGGGCAATGTACCATTTGCTTGATGATGAATAGGCAAAATTTTGCAGCACATGTCCAGCAGAAGGCGGACCGCTACGACATTGCTCGTTGCCTACCAAGAACTCCGCCCACCTCATCATCTAAAGCATGGATGGCTGTGTGAAAACCTTACGCTCACTACTCTTCATATTCAATCTGTTTTTTTGGGTAGGTTTGCACAAAATTACATCACTGTCTGCACATATCCGCTAAAGTTGCTGTTTCGGACGTTTATCCCTCGACGAGGAATTTCGTTCCACCTTTTCACTCGCAGTTTCCCCTCACTAGATAAACAAATAAATAAATAAGTAAACAGATCAGTAAATGCTTGCCAATTAAGTTGTTTAAGTATCTGCTCGTTTTTGAGAAGTGATTCATTTGGTAATTTTATTCCAAAACGCTTAGGCTTATACTTAAATGGCTCGTTATTAGGGATTACATGGAGACCAATACATTTAACCTTTAACTAGTGTATTGCTGGCTTCACATGGTATTTTCTTTGAAATGCCGAACGACGCGTGCGAAGGCTTTTGCGGGTGACCGAAAATGAAAGTCGCATGTTATTGTCAATTACTAGGAAAGATGCCGCCTTCCGATCCCATTCCTTCGAGGACTGTAGAGAACACTTATTGTGATTACGTTATATATATATATATATATATATATCAAGCGAAAAGGTTATTTAGATTGCTGGTATCGTTACAATTGGTCTCGGAATATGGTTACTTTGGGATCCCGTTGCGTCGGATTTTTTCGCACTTCACTCAACCCACCATGGTACGAACTTCGTAATAGCTTTAAACCATTACCTCCTTTCTATGTAAAAGTGGCATATCCAGGGTCATTTCAAAGTGTGGCTTGGCTGCTGCTGCTTGCCGGAGTTATCACGACTATTGTTGGTTGTTGCGGGTGTTGTGGAGCGTGGAGGATGAGCCAGGGCACACTCATTGCAGTACGTATTTTCACTGTACACATTTGTATAAACCTATTCTTTACCGTTTACCTATTTATTTCACCTTCTTGGAAATTTCTGGTGATTTGGATGTTCAATCTCCAGTCGTTTTTTATTATGATCACTGCCATATTCACTAATTAGGTAGGAATATGAGAGATGAAGCGCCACATCTTTTCTGTTGACGCTAATTTATAAACACGTATTCGCCAGTTTTTCATCTTCGGTCATTTTAAGAACTACGTCTTTTTCATTCGTTCCATATGAAAATTTTAAGAACCCACATTTGAGATCAATCAGTATATAAGTTCAACATCCATACAGGCAATTGACGCCAAACACTTGTCATGTGAGATGAAGTTTCGTCCACCGAAGTGAAACTTTGCAAACAGCCGCTCTTTAAGAGTTAATTGAATTGTAGGTCAACAACTGATTTTGAATGGTCTCTGATGAGTGTTTATTTTATTTGGACTAGGATTTCTTGCAGTTCTTCATTATCTTGGTGGTTGTGTTTTGTCTTGAACTTGCTGCTGCATGTATGGCATATAATAAGCAAGAAACTATCCAGTAAGTTTGAACAAATCATATTTACATCAAAGAAAACCAATGTTTCGGACTAAAGCTCTATAACTAGACATTCCTTTAAACGATTCTACTCTCACTAATGGATATCTTGTCGCAATGAAACACATTATTTATGATGTTATTTTAAGTATAAGTCGATAAAACGAGGACTTTCCCGCTAAAATTTGTTGATAACTTGAGAATATATCGCATTTGTTATAGACAGTACATCGAAAGTAGTATGTATGACACGATCCGTAACCGATACACATCTGATGCCAATTACAAGTCGGCATTCGATACTATACAGCAGGAGGTTTGTAAATGAGTTACTCATCGTTTTTTCAGCCACCTTGCAACTTTTCCAGTTGTCGCTAGATTCAATAAAGAACTAGATTCATTTTATGAATAATTTCTAATTGAACAGCGTTTTCTGACGAAAAGAAATTCAGCTTGAATGTTGCGGTGTAAAGTCATATTTGGATTGGTTGGGAACCAGCTGGGATCGAAAAACTCTACATGTCGACGATATTCAGATTAAAAAAGAACATGGAATCGGTGCGATCGGAGGAAGACGTGTTAATGGATATGGTATGGATGTTGTTAGTAGACCCATGGACTAAACTGAGTGGTATTACTTCTGAGAATGAGGAATCACTTGCATAAACTGCGAACAACACTTGTGTTTTCGTTGGCACTTTTTTAATTAAGGATTATATAAATGTAAGAAGTATTGGTAATTCTACTCTGTTAGACACAAAATACTTTCTTTTTCATTGCGAAAACTGGGCAAAAAACATGAGGCACTACATGAAGTTTGAAAACATATGACTGATGCATTTGAGATGCCTAGTGCTAAATAGTATTCAGGCCAAAATATAGCACATGGCTCAGTCATGTAAGAATTTATTAAGCAGTTTTCAATATGGCGTTTGTTCTTGTAAAGTACTTCATGGCATTAGCTAATTATATGTTAAGTATAGAAGACTACAGTTTAGACCTTCTTCTTTGCAACCACGAAAGACAGGGACATCTTGTGCCAAATAGTGACGCAAATTAACGCTATTTAAAATGTAACTGACGTTAAAGCACAAATATCCTCTTTCTCTATGACGCGAAACAATTACTACTTCGTTTCACAACTGCTTTTCGTTGAGTATCCTTTGTTAGCTTTCAGCTTAAATACTTAGAAAGTTAGATGATGTTGAACGTGTCTCAGCACCTTATATTCAAGTAGTTGTCCTGCAGCCGTCATCCAAGGCGGTATGCGAGCTGCTATGTGGCCTTCGATGCAACGTGATCCCCTGATATCTCATTTCGCTAACACGTTGAATGTTGTTCGAGGGCAAATTTCCTTAGGAACCCGAGATCTCCAGGCTAGGTCATTCTCAGGTAACTATCACAAGCAGCTGCTAACCTCTTTGGACTAGAGCAAAATTTGCTGCTTTGAGACCTAGATCCTTCCAGGATAACAGCTATTCTTGTGATGACAGCAAATGCTGCTATTAGTCGACCAGCCACTCGAGGATCTACAAACTGAATCAAGCTGTCAACAACAGTAGTGAAAGTAACGGTGTACAGGAATTTCCACACCTATTTTTAACTCGTCTGAGATATTCTGTCTTCTTAGTTTCGTAGAAATAATCCTGTAAATTCTTGAAATAGTTCAACTATGTTTTTCTCAGTGTAAAATGGTACGTCCTAATGTATACTATATTTTAATAGAAAACCATTTATTAGGTAGCTCATTTTCTCTACGACATTGATAAAATTAGTAGACCGAATCTCCAATAAAATAAGCTGAAAAATAAAATAATACGAGACTATTTCAAATTTTATATTTTCGTAAAGGCAAAACTCGGGTAAACGGAAAGGGAACGATATTAAAAAATCTTCATAGTTAGCAGTTTTATCCTCTAATTACCAATTTTTCAGAATGCCGGCTGTTTATAAAAGGCCTTGCTGCCGTAAGAAATTCATAACTGCTCTATATCGTTAAGCCTACCTACATTAGCTCATGGATTAACGTATCTAGTCCATTTAAATAATTTGAAACGTTCTTGTTATATGTGGTTATACGTGGGACCTCTAATTTGTTCACCTATACACCTTATTTTTATTGTATGATACCACTTGTTCAGCTTCTCACATTCTCGACCCCGCATCACCTTCTAGCTTGGAGAGGAAAAAAGTTATTTTGTCTGGCACTACCGTTTTGTTATGTCGCCCGCGATCTGAATACTATCCACCGATCAAAGTGTTGATGTCCTTGAGAAAGAAAGGCTTTAATGTTTACAGATATCATTAGAGATCGTTAGTGGCAAACAATAAACAAAAGTTCCTTAATCTATCGTAAGACACATGTGGTGATCAGCATGATAAAGATCAGATAACTTTAGAGATAGTTACTACATTACACTGCATTGGAGTTTGTGTTGCAGATGTCTAGTAAGAAAAAAAGTGTAGTCATCTTCGTTGGCTTGGTAAAAAACAATATCTCCTCAAAAGCGCTTTATCGCGGGCTATAGCATCCAACGGCATATTCCGTTCCAAAATATTTGGTGCTTATTCTTTTTCCTTACTATCCATGTACGAATATAGCCACTAGTTACGAATCTTTAAGAACTAAATCTAGCAAATCCAAAACGTATACAGCATTGATAGGTATGCTAGGTGTGTTCGTAGTCATATTTTCTCATTTATATGCTATGAAATTTAGCACAATTTTCTTATTTCATTGGATAATAAATGGATTCACTGAAGAATGCAACTTCAGGTCGGACACCATTTTCATGTTGTAACGATCACGGAAAAGAAATCTATCCCACAAATTGCGGCGTTTCTTTTACACACGCTCCATTGGAAACATATTCCGAGTTCCTACATTCTAAGGTAAGGCGAATGATGTCGTGAGCAGTTGCCAGAATATTCAGCTACCGCTGAGACACAAATTTTTACTAAAGACAAGTATGTTTATATAGACAATTTTACACTTACTTGAAGAAACATTAATTTCAGGGATGCGCAGACGCTCTTCATGATTCCATATATCGCAATCTGGATATTGTGATTGCCATCTGTGTCATTGTAGGCGCAGTTCAGGTGATTTCTTTTATCATCACGGAACCATTTTTCGGAAGCGACAGCGGGTCTTACTCGTCATGTTTTCGTAGCGACAGAGTCACGCATGCTGCTGTAACAGCAAAGTTCAGCTGAAAGAAATAAGACAGCTGTTTCATCTCTCAACTAGAATATTCAAACCATAAAACATGTCTGGATAAAACAAGCATGGAGGAGGGCCCGCGCAAAAGGCTCGATGACTGGGTGTGATGAAGACCTAGGAGCGCTTCAGTTAAGCGGTCCCAAAATTCCAGGGGGAATCTGGTTGACCGGCATTTAACGACATCCACCTAGAAAACTAAGAGCCTCAAGAAGCAGCCGAAACAAAATCCAAACACTTTCATGAATTGCGAGACAACGAACGGAATGAAAGACGTGCTGGTATACGCAAATTATGTGGTGAAGGGTCAAACAAATAAATAAAGAAAAATGTGAAGAAAGCAACCAAAACCCCTCGAATGACGTAAGAACTTGTGAGGAACATCTACATTCCCTCGAATATCCATCAAAAAATAGCTGTCTAGGGCGTCAACACCAATACTAACAATTTCGATTAAATAAGAGAAAACACTCTTAGAGCAAAACAAACTCTATTCAACACCTTATCATTAGAACACTGGCAGAATTTTTGAATATTCCGCGCCGCTGATCGGAAATCGATTTCAGGAAGACCACAATCACTTTTCTAACACTGACTTTCACTGGACCTCGGAATCTGTTTCAGTTTATTGGAAAGCTTGCATATGGTTGTTACCAAATGTTATTATGGCTGACAGTTCGGCGCAATTGCTTTCCTTAGAGCCAAAAGTGATTCGAATCCAACATCGACAGCCGTTGATTTATGTGATGGGGGCGGTCTTCTTAGCCTCATTCTAGGGGAATCGTAAAAAGTGGTGCAACAAACGAAAGAAATGACCTTACCCAGAAGAGTCATTCATATAGGATTGTTCATGCCGCTGGCGCGATCACACCCAGTAGTATTGACAAAGGTACCAATGTACTGGAGGGCGAGTGTGTCGCAGTGGTCGGAGACGCCTTGCAATACACATGGGATCGTTCCACGCCTTCAAAGCTCACCAAGAGTTCCATCCCTCCAAGGTCGGAAAATTGGTAGCAAACTTGTCTGGGAGGATAGCAGAACTGGCTGGATAAATCGGTAGGCCACCGATTTATCAATGTAAAGGCCAGATATGTACTCTATGACCTCCAAATGATTCTTAATGAAGTCGAATGCATGACGCATCCTTCAGGTAGTGATCAACGCCCAGAGATTTACCCTTTATCCTTTTATCAACGCACTGATAATCCATGCTAAGGCCAATTGAATATTTGTTTTGAAAACGTCACGTTATTGTCTTTTAAAAGACCTGTCATTATATCCAATGTGCGGATTCCAGCACTTGCATTCGATTCGTTTTCCTCGCATTCATCATCCATAAAGGACATCGAATCTTTCGCACGCTGTTTCGGCTGCTGCTTGTGGATTTCGTCTTCTTTAGGTATATCATCCATCACCTTGCTTCCCAATGGACTGCACTACCTAAATGAAAAGGGTAAAGCTCTCGGCGTTGATCAATCGTTGAGGGATGCTCCATGCATTCGACTTCATTAAGTATCGTTAAAGGTGATTGAATGCATATATCGCTTATACAACGACTCGCGGTTGACAACCGATGTATCGAACCGGTGGTGCTATCCTCCCAGGAAAGTCTGGTAAAAAATTGCTCACCCCGGAGGGATGGGATGGCTTGGTGGGCCAGAGGCGCAGGACTCCACCCCACGTCTATTGCAGGTCACCTCTAACCACTGCGCTGCTATTATCCGACTTCCGACTCTTGTAGGATAATCACCAAGAAAACGTATAATCTTGGACGTGCAATAAATCAAGAACCGTGCAAATACGAAGAGTCAGTTCGCAAGACTAAATGCTGTGCACGTTCGACTCAAATCATTGCAAATCTGAAACAGCCGAAGCACAAAAACGTTATACATGGCTAAGATCTACGACAACTTCGTATACGCTTATCAATAAACTGCAGTTACTCACATATTTACTTGGAAAAGACTACACATAGGCGTGAAGACTATGAGAGTTCTCAACCAAATCTCTTAAAGTTAACCAATAATTGTTATGGTTACTAAATCGCATTGACAATTGCCTTCTTTCTTTTCAGTTAGTTGGTATGGTTCTCGCAATGATGCTTTGTTGCTGTATCAACACGGAAAAGAGAAAACACGACTACTAAACGCTGTACCATCATAGAATATGGAAGAGATGACTAGTAGTTTCCTCGGTATATAACTTGAGTTCTAAATAAAGAATGCTGGGCAGTACACATCTAGCCTTATCCAGTTCTCAAAGCGTTTCTCGAATAAGAAACTAATGTCAGGTTAAGCGAAAGTGTTAACTGTCAGCGAAACTTTTATAGAAAGTTCAACTTATTTCACCACCACAGTTATTATATAAACTTAACATAGTGAGCAAATGCATTGTAATTCTACAGCGACACGTTTCGCAAGACATCCACAGAACAAACTTCCCATAAAAAATTAATCACCTTCATAAAACAGAGAACTATTCACAATAGTCAGCTTCGTAGCTCGGAGTATGAAAATGTATTATACGACTATATTATGCATTATTGTTAAAATATAATAAAATAGCTTACGCACGAATAGATGCGAATTCAACTAAGGATGGCTAAATTTGGACAATAAACATTAGATGAAGAGCGAGAATAACCCTACATTACAGACAAGAAATACACCACCATCAAAGGTATGACAAGTTGAGAGAATATCAAAATGAAAAAATCTACTTTTGAAGTCGGTAATAAAAAACAAAACAAAAATAGCAAATAAAGGCATCCAAGCATTACCCTTCAATTACAGCCTCACAGGTATTTTAAGGAATTAAAATAAGCGTAAAAAAGGAACCTTAAAACGGTAACTCAGGCATATTAGCATCCTACTATTACAAGAATGCAATAAACCCGAAAGGATCACTTAGTGAAAACCAAGTATTGGAATGCATAAAAGTGATTGTCTAACTAAGTGGAGTGATTTCCTCGTGTACGGAGGAAAGGAATATACCTAAAAAGTGTTGTCTTACGATTGTTTCGACTTTCTGAGTTATCCGGTGGGGCTTGCAACACACCCAATTGAGCAGATGTCAGCAGACACAACGCTGAAGCCACTGCAAGCCCTGATGTGCCATTAGGCGTGGTCGTACGGCCTCCAGTTGGCAAACGAACTGCTAACGTGAAAATTCCTGACTTGTAATTACTGCACGGTTCCACGGAGAGAGGAGTGGGTCCTTGAACAGGACCAGCAGCCTTGAAAACAGCCAATATTGAGTGGTAAAACAATTGGAATTTCACAGAACACGAAAATCGAACGAGTGCGAGAGTGAGAACTTGGCAAAATTTCGTGTCAAGCCTCTAAAATTTTCTCACTCCACTACACTATTATTAATAGGCGCATTTAACCCACAATTTCTACTTCTGCACTTTATATAACATATAAAGCAAATCCTCACAAGCAGAACAAATAACAAACAACGAACCATAAGATACTGCTGATCCGTGAGTTCCAGTTTGATTGAAGAAAAAGGCCGAGAAGCCATCTGCAAAGATATATAAGAAGAACTCCAACTGAAATTTTTATAGAAATCGTGTAGGAAAAACGAAAGAAAAACACATGAAACGTTGAACCGTAAGGACAGTTAGGCGGAGACGGAAGTTCGCGTATGAGACGTTAATATAGTAAAGATACAAAGTGTTGAAAGCGTTTAAAATGATATTCATGTTTTGAAATTCTGTACTATTTTCAGGCATAAAGTAAAAAGGCACATTTTAGTTGCGTGGTGAGTGCAGAACAGTGGTTAGAGGTATCCCGCAATATACACGCAATCGCTGGTTTAATCCAGCACCCTGGGTCACAGAGCCTTCCATTCCATCCGAGATTGGGAAATCGGTGCCAAATCTGTCTGTGAGGATGTCAGCACTGACTCGATACATCTCAGTCACAGAGGCACCGAGGGTTATTGTAAAGGCCAGTTATGCATTCAGTCACCTTTAACCATATTAAGTAAATTCTAACGCACGTCGCATCACTCAGGGCATGAGGAACGTCTAACTCTATATGCTCCATATTTTAGTTGAAGACGAGTCATCGGGATGGTAGAAAACGAGAATGCTAACAACAATGTTTAACGCTTTGTTTTCTGCCTTCTATAATTTTCATGGCAGGTTACTAAGCAATACAACCACAACGTTGCTGAGATATTTGCAAAACTCTGGACCGCAGGTGTCTATGGTGGGGAACGAACGCGCTATTATCCTTTCCGGGGAGTAACGCGTTCACGACCACACCATGCGGGTCCTTTGTTTCGCACGTCTCTCAGCTATTTCTATCGATCTTTTTGCCACAGCAATCACCCGTCAGCGGGGTTGATCTGGGGAGCGCAAATCGGCATAGAACCCAGTTAAGCTATGGCTGTAGTTGAAATCACAATGTTTAACGTTTTGTTTTCTGCCTTCTATAATTTTTATGGCAGG